AAACATGCTTTCGTGGAGGCTGAAATCAACTCTTAAGACCCCAGTGATGCTGTGTGGCCCAGATGCTAATCGATTGTTTGCAAATGGGATCGACTTCTCCGTTGGGATTTGAGGGAAGCCCCCCAAATCAATAAACAAACAGACAAATAAATACTCCTTTGTCAAGTTCAGAATCAGTTGGCAGATGAAAGAGAAAGACAGATGAGGATGAACCTTTCACCTTTATTGCTGATGAACTGGTTGGAGAGCAGACCTGGGCACACTTTGCAGCTGGGATTGGCCGGGGGAGGAGGGAAGAGCAGGCCAGCGCTTCCTCTCTCTCAACGTCACTAGGCAGATCAGTGATGCCTCCTCTTCAGGGTAAATGCCAGGGCTGCGCGAGGAGAAAGAACTCCTCCGTGGTCCTGGGACCAGCAGCATCAGCACCACCTGGGAACTTTTAGAAATGCAAATTATTATCCTAATGCAAATTAGGCCCAACTCCCAGAAGAATTGAATCAAACTCTGGGGGTGGGGCCCAGCATTCTGTATCTTAATAAGGTTTGAGGTGATTCTAATGCAGCCTCAAAGTTGAGAACCACTGGTCTAGTGGGAGCTGCTCCACATGGAAATCTGAGGCCTGGGAAGCAGTGTGCTCCTGGAATATTTTGCCACCCGTGCCTGTCCTTCCCCCCATCTCTGGGAAAACAAATCACAGGGAGAGACGTTTCACAGCTTCCACATTTGATTTTTAGCTTACAGCTGCTCCCAGGAGGACCAAGTGGAGGTTCCTGATTATCTCCCCTCCAAAAGGGAAGACGGTCATGGATTTGGTATTCGCTAGCCTTGCCTCTTTCTCTTGCAGACCTGGGAGGCGCTAGCATCCCCTTATTGGCCTTGGTAGTCTTTGAAGACACTAGAATGACCATTAACCAGAAGTGGAAATGGAAGCACATGGATCCCCCTGCAGAAAAGCCTCTTTGTCTCCCATAGCCCTTAGGTTTCAAAATAAACTCCTTGCCAAGGCCTGTCCTCTCCAACTGCATCTCAGCCACTCACTCACCCCTCCAGTCATTCTAGCCTCCCTCTGTCTAATATGCCAAGCTCACTCCTGCCTCAGGATCTTTGCACTTGCTGTCCTTCTACTTGAACAACTCTTCCCTAAGGCCTTGGCAGGCCTGGCTCCTTCTCGTCCTTTAAATCAAAACCCAAATGTCATCTTCTCCGACCACCCATTTAAAGCGCCCTCAACCCCACTTGTCATTGTTTATCTCATTAGCCCGGTTTATTTTCTTCAGAGCACTTGACACTATCAAAAAATGACCTGGTGTGTTTATTTGTTGACTTGTTTATTTATAAGAGATCAGGGGCCTCGCTGCCTCTCTGGTAGTAGAACTGTTCCTGGTACGTTGCAGGCTTAAGATTGACATGAATACTTGCTGAATAAAGGAACACAGGAAAAGGCTCTGGGAGACAAGAGTCAGAGAGGAGTGATTCAGGCATTAAGACAGGCAGGGGCCCCTGAGCCCAGCCGAGTGGGTCTGCGTGGAATGCTGCTACCACACCAGGTTTTCTGCCTGCTTTTCCTCTCGCCCATTATCTTAGACCCAGGCTCCTCCTACTTATCCTCCTCCCCTCCTTCCCCCTTCATGTCATTACATTACAGTCATTAGAAGCCAGCGGATTCACAACCTCCTGTCGGCTTTCTCATAAAGGACTGTTAATAGAGTTAGTTTTCAGCGGGGGCGCTGCAAACTGTTGTCAAAACTCTGACTTAGCCACCCACATCCACGTAATTAATCACAGAGGAAACCAGAAAAGAGTGGCATGAGGGCTGGGGTCCAGCTGTGTGTGGGCCCTCTTCCCAGAGGGGACCATCATGTCACACACAGCCGCTGCCCACCAAGAGCCAGGCTGGAAACAAGACAGCCTCCCTGGAACCACTGCAGAGTACAAGTCAGGATCTAATTAGCACTGGGGGGTGTCCGCCACCTTCCAGAGGTTGGTAGCAAAGGAAAAGAAATTAAACGGGTGGGGTAGAGGCTGGAGGGAGAAAGAAAGTTAAAGATGGTTTATTTTAAGATGACAAGGAAGCTGGCATTTATTGAGTACTGTATTAGTTATCTATTGCTATGTAGCCAATTACCACAAACTTGTTGGCTTAAAACAGCACATGTTCATTATCTCCTCGTTTCTCTGGGTCAGAATCCGGTAACAGCTTAGCTGGGTCCACCACTTGAGGTCTCACAAGGCTGCAATCAAGGTGTCAACCAGGGCTGAGTTCTCATGTGGAGGCTCAGCTGGGGAAGGATACACTTCCCCGCTCATGTGGTTGCTGCAGCACTTAGTTTCTTGTGTTTGTAGGACTGAGAGCTTTGGTTTTTTTCCTGGCTGTTGGTCCGAGGCACCTTCAACTCCTAGAGATTCCCCACAGTTCCTTGCCACGTGGGCTTCCCCAGCTTGGCCACTTACTTCATCAAGCCAGCAGGAAGAATCTCTATAGAGCAAATCCACCAGCAAGATAGAGTTTTATACACCATGGTGTAATCACAGAGGATATCACGTCCCATCTCCCCTGCCCTATTCTGTTGGTTAAAGGCAAGTCACAGGGGGACTTCTCTGGCGGTCCAGTGGTTAAGACTCCATTCTTCCACTACAGGGGGCGCAGGTTCGACCCCTGGTCGGGGAACTGAGATCCCCCACATGCCACGTGGCGCGGCCAAAAAAGGAAAAAACAAGGGAAGTCACAGGTTCTGCCCACATTTAATGGGAGGGGGGTCGTACCAGGGTGTGAATACCAGGAGGGGGAAATCATAGGACAGCCGCCCTAGAGGGTCAACCACAGTACCTTTTATGTGCTAAGGACCGTGCCAAATGCTTTTGCGTGTGTTACATCATTTAATCACTAAAACAACCTGAGGGGCAGGCATCATCCCCTTTGCACAGATGAGAAACCTGAGACAGAGGAAAGAGAACTTACTTGCCCAAGGTCCTGCCAGTGATCAGAACCGCTTGTGTCAGGACAGCAAGCTTACAGGCTGGAGAGTCAGCATCTTTACAGGAGGAGCAAGGGCCCGAGGTTGGTGGGGAAGAGGATAGTGAGAGGGTTCCAGCTATGAGGCGTGAGACCAGGAGGGAAGAAGGCTGTGGATTTCACGTTGAGAAGGAAGAAAACCGACAGTGCTTTGTTTGATGATCTCTATATTCTCAGTGAAGCAGGAAACGAGGGTGTCTCCTGAGAGACTGGAGGTTGGGCTGGAGGGGAAGCAGAGATAAGTTGGAACAGCACCTGTGGGGAATGGGAGAGGGGGAACTGGAATCCGGCCAGCGTGAGTACAAGGTTGCCGAGGAGCATAAACCTGCTTCCTCCATGAAGACTTTAGCAGTTGCCTTGGTAGGTGGTACTCGCTCCCACCCCCAGCTCTTTGTGCAGTCTACACTCTCCTCAGGCCTTGTAGGGCTGTGGTTTATGCCCGTGTCCATCCCTCTCATCAGGGCAGGAACCTAACAGTAGACCGCGTTGGGCCTCCTGGTACCCAGCACAGGGTCTGGCACGTGGGAGCCCTTCGTAAATGGCCTGATTCCAGACCCTGAATTTCTAAATCACTCCACTCTATTACCTCTCACCCCCTAAAGGCTGACCCAGATCTAAAAGGCTATTCAAAAATATGTATTTTTATTTTTGTTCCAAAAGTAAAATTTGAAACAACAGCAGGCTACAGAGATGCAGATCCCTCATGGAATAGGGCTTTAGAGCTGGAATTAAGGAAGTCTTTTGCATGCAGAACCTGGTGACAAAAAAATTTTGCATTTTGGCCCAGTCCCTTTGATATCAGAAGTCAAGAGCCATTTCAAAATATTCCATATCAATCTAGATTGGTATGAAACGTTGCCCACAGTGTATTATTGCCTGAAAAATACAGTTATGGTAGATGGAATAATCTCATCTGTATCAAATGACAAGTTTTGACTCATTTTAAGTGACAGAAAACCGAACTCAAACTATCTTAGACAAAATCCAAAACGTGTGGGCTTATCTTCAATGAAAAGTCCAGGATGCCAAAGGGACTAACATTTTGGCCTGAGAATGAGGCAAATGGCTGCCAACAGCCCCTAGGGCTGCATCCTCCCCTAGGATTCCTTACACAAGTCCTGAGATCTACTGTGATTGGACCAACTTGGGTCACATGACCGTCACTGAGCCAGTCACTGTAGCCAGGGGGATTCCATCTGATCCAGCCTTGGTCAGGATGGAGTCGGTGTGCTGTGAGCAGGAGAAAAGGAATGGATGCCGCGGTGGTCATACAGGCAGCAAATGTCCACCCTGTGTGTTGTGCTTACGTCCACAGAAAAATGACCGGGGAGATGCTCACCAAAATGTCAAGAAAAGGGTTCTCTCCAAGTTATAGTACTTGGGGCAGAGTCAGACGCCTCTTTTTGTAAAATCAGCCCCATGCTTCATCCTAGTGACTAGACTAGGGACCACCACTGGAGTCTCATCCTGACCCACTAATAGTATCTAAGCCTTGCTGGAGGACCAGTTCTGGAATCCCTGGAGACACTGAGTCCCCTAAGGCCCACCTCAACTCATTTCCCAGCCTCTGCTGGGGCCTGAATTGGGAGCCTGACCTGGACTCCAGGCCTTTTGCCCTCCTGGCGAGGAGGGTGGCAGGGCTGGCGTTTGCTCACTTCACTCTGAGTAGGGTCCTCCACCCTGGAGAACCACTCGGGACCAGGATGCTAGTCCCACCCCCAGGGACTAGCCGCAACCACCCCCAGGACTCCTAGCTTCTTTCCACCTGGAGGCTCCCACCCGACCCTGCCTGCCCAAGCCAAGCCCGGTAAGTACGGACCACACACTCTTCAGACTCTTGTCCCAAAGCCAGCCCCTCCTGGGATCAGTTTCCAAACCCTGATCTCAGCTCCACCATGCCACTCGTTGCCCAAAGCGGCAGCAATGGCCCCCCTAACGCTACACACGAGACCAGGGACAGGCAGTACCGTAGAATGGCATTTTATTTCTAATTGGATCCGTCAGTTGTGTCTGACAGTTTCTTTGAACCCTCTGCGCTGGTGCTTAGCCGACCCTTGGAGGCTCTTCCTCCTGGCATTCCGGTAGATGCCCAGTTCCTCTTGGTACTTAGCTCTCAGGAAAGCTGCCCTTTGTTCATAGGGCTGCTTGTCGTAGCCTGTCATTGCTGACCACATCTTCCCCGAGGCCTTTGCCACCTGCACTACCGACCAGTTTGGATTCTCCCACTTGAGCTTGGCGTAGTGGTCTTGGCAGAAGAGTAGGAAGGACGATGGAGGTCGTCTGGGTGCGTGGGGGTCCCGCTTCCTCCTCCTGTTCTTCCTGCCAGGGTATTTCATCATCTCTTCCTGGTATCGGGCTTTGTCGAGCTTAGCCAGGGCCTCGTATTTGGCCTTTTCGCGCTTTGAGATAGACCTCCATTTTTCCGAACACTTTCTAGAGAACTCTTTAAAGCCGAGGTAGGTGTTTGGCTTCTGCTCCTTGAACTTGTTTCTGTAATCCAGCAAAAAGTGGATGTAAGAAGAGACATTTGCCTTGGGCCTTAGCTGGACTTCTCTTCCCATGTTCGTAAGGTCATTTTATTTTCTGGATCTAGTAACTCGGACAGCAGAGACTTGTCCGCCACACTCCAGGAGCAATTAGAAGGTACTCTGCTGGGGGTGAATGTTTCTCTCTGTAAGAGCTGCAGGCAGGGGCCCGCCTTTTCAGTGGTGGTGGCATTGTTGGGTCAGAGGGGATTGTGACATCACTCACAAGCTGGCCAGTCCAGGCCAGGGCTGGTGGCATTTGCATACAGGTGCTCTTATTGGTTGGCTACTTGGCGGTCAAATTTTGCTTCTCGTGAAAGATAATGGTTCATGCAGAGAAGGCTCTGGAGCAGTAACCCCCCCCCCCCCCCCCTCTTTAAAGCCGAGGTAGGTGTTTGGCTTCTGCTCCTTGAACTTGTTTCTGTAATCCAGCAAAAAGTGGATGTAAGAAGAGACATTTGCCTTGGGCCTTAGCTGGACTTCTCTTCCCATGTTCGTAAGGTCATTTTATTTTCTGGATCTAGTAACTCGGACAGCAGAGACTTGTCCGCCACACTCCAGGAGCAATTAGAAGGTACTCTGCTGGGGGTGAATGTTTCTCTCTGTAAGAGCTGCAGGCAGGGGCCCGCCTTTTCAGTGGTGGTGGCATTGTTGGGTCAGAGGGGATTGTGACATCACTCACAAGCTGGCCAGTCCAGGCCAGGGCTGGTGGCATTTGCATACAGGTGCTCTTATTGGTTGGCTACTTGGCGGTCAAATTTTGCTTCTCGTGAAAGATAATGGTTCATGCAGAGAAGGCTCTGGAGCAGTAACCCCCCCCCCCACCCCCGGAATGTTTCTCCTTGGTTTCCTGGAGGCAGTGGACTTTGCTCAGTTGGGGAGCTTTCCATCCCTCGGAGGTAGTAACAAGCCACGGGGTCTGCCTTCCCCGCCGTACGATTGTCAAGATGCCACCTCATCCCTTCCAGAGACAGGGTGGAAATAATGAACACGAGGAGGTGGATGGCTCCAGAGCTGTCATGATAAAATGTGAAGTCCTTCTGTTTGCCTTGAACAGTGGCAGCTCATCCTGTACAAAGAGTTTAGTAGTAACTCTAAAAATAATCAGGTATGACAGCTGTGACTCGGTTCCTGTCAGGACAAAGTTGTCTAATTTAAAACCCAAGCACTTGGCCTATACGTCTGAATTCTTCATTTCTCTGAGGAAATTGGGGGTGGGGTGGAGGTTAGGGAAGACGGGAGGAGACCCTTAAGATTTTACTAATTAGGCCTGAGTCCATGAAAATGAGGCAGAATCCTTGGCCTATCAGGAGGCCCCCCTGCCTTTATCCCAGGGGTCCCCGTTTCTTGGGGCTAGAGCACAGAGCTCTAGCAGCTACACTCAAACTAGTCGGCCTCTGGCTTTTTGAGAAAAAAGTTGCAAATATTCCGTCAGTCTTCCAGCTGGAGGGAAAAGAAAAGAAAAGTGTCATTTATTGACCTTAGGACATTGCAAAGTACTTGCTTACCTGGTCATGGAGTTGATACCACTCAGTGGTTGATGACAGAGCCGAGTTTACGGGACTGGAACACTGAGTCTCATTAACATAAAGTTAACCTGTTTAAGGTAAAACAGCCACTAACAGGTTGGATCTGGATTTGAACCGATTTGCCTGACTGGAGCCTCTGCTTCATCCCACCTGCACAGAACAGCTGCCTGGGGGGGCCTAGGGTCCGGGTACATGGCCTCAGCGGATGAGCTGAGTCTGACACTGAAACTTGCCTGAGGCTAGACCACATTTTGAATTTTGGCCAAGGCCATTTCCAAGGCTCCACAACCGATTTCACCTTCCATCTTACATAAAAGAAAGATGGATATTGACTAGAGTCTCCAATCCTGAATTCTAGTCCCAGCTCGCCACGAGGCGGCTGGGCTACCCGTCCCTTCCTTCCTGTAAGCCTATGATGTTTCATCTTTGAAATCAGTGATGTGGAACCAGTGTTCCACCGGCCAGGAAAGACCCTCCCGGTGACATGCTGTAGTTCTGTGGCCGGACTGGGGAGCCCGTGAGATACCAGATGCCAGCTCAGGGAGTCCAGGCCAGCGGTGGGGGCAGAGAGGTCTGGCCAGTGGGAACAGATTAATCTGGCGACACTTCTCAGCCTAGGGAGGTTTTTGCCACTCGGGTTCTTTGTCCCACGGTGGCCAGAGGTTGGCTCGTCTGTCTGTTGGACTTGAGCTGGGCTGCCAGGATGAATGAGACACAGCTCCTTCCTGAGGCAGAAGGCTGGGTTGTGAGGAAGAACGTGCCTAACATCCAGACATGATAATCAGCTTCAGCTCAGTCTCACAGACACCCAGCAGCTTCTCTGTGCCTCTGTTCACAACCTTCTACCCCCTCTCAGGATGATAAGGTCCGGGAACATTAACTCCATGATAGCCACCCGGAGCCTAGCAGATCTAGGAAGAGAAGACAGTTAAGGTGAAACCTATGACAGTCCTTTGGTGTTGGGGCCACATTCCCGACTTGGCGGCGTGAAGCAGGGCACCCCTTTCTCTAGTGGAGCTGCGGGAGAAGTAAATACACCAGACTTTCTAAATCGATGCTGTGTGCGCTGGCATCTGAGGTTTGCTCCTTTCCATCCTTCCCCAGCATGCTCCCTGTCCTGGGAAGCTGACCCATATGGACCACATCAGTGGCTCCTGTGCCCTCCGGCTTCCACTTCAGTTTGACCAATGGGGACCCCAACAGGAGATCAGGGAGGGAGGGAGGTGAGGTCAAGGCAGTTACTCTCTGGCTCCCTCCCCGCGGGATTGCCTGGAGCTGGCTCCCCATCCCCAGACTGAAAGCCCCATCTCCTCTTAAGGCATCCTCTCGAAATGACTCTCTCCTTGTCCCCCCTGCTGAAGGTGGTAAGAGCTCCACCTTTACTAGCCTCTGAGGATTCAGCTCTCCCTTGTGTCTTTCCAGCACCTTGCCCATCCCTTTGTAAATAGCCTCTTTGTTAAACACTCCTCAAATTATTCTAATTTGAGTGGCCATCTGTTTCCTGCTGGGACCCTGACCAGTGTGCTGTGTTTCTAACCTTCCAGTGTGAACAGCGTGAACAGCGGAGGTGGATAAATAAAGCAAGTGTGGGCATCCATCCAAAGTAGAAGGGTATCGAGCTTCTGGAGGCCTGAGTGCTGGGCAGTCACACAGCCCAGAGGGGCCTGCAGGGGCCAGTGTGCCTGCCGGGCGGTGGCAGGACAAGGCCACGTGGCTTAGAAAGAAGTGTCTAATGTCCTTTGTACCATGAGATGACCTCCAGGCAGGGGTGCTGCTCTGGAGGTCCAGGTAGTAAATAGTGCAGGCTTTGTGGGCCATGCATTTTCTGTTGCAAGTTCTCGGCTCTGCCACCGTAGCTCAAAAGACAACACGTAAACGAAAGAGTGGCTGTGCCCCAGTAAAACTTCACAAACACAGGCGTTGGGTTGGGGCTCGTAAGCCCGCCCACCCCAGTCTAGAGATGTGAGTTCAGTATTTGCAAACTTCTGGATTGCAGTCTACAGTAAGAAATGTATTTTACACTGTGACCCATTTATGCACATGCACACTTCATAATAATACTTTATACAATGCCTAATGTGTGCCTCTGTTCTAAGCGCTTCACCCATGTCAGCTCATCTAATCCTCGTGAAAACCCTGCGTGTGGGGTGCGAGTCGGGGCGCGCTACTTTTATCCCCATTGTAAAGATAAGGTCTCTGAGCACATAAAGTTTTCAGAAACAGAAGTTTTACGAAACTATACCTACTATGTGTGTGACGTACTCTTTTCTTCTCCATTCTATGCTGTTGCAGTCTTTCTTTAAAATGCACCCCACGGTCTGATCTTATGACCTGCAAATGGGTCACAGTCCATGGGTGGATTTGGAAAACACTGTTTAGGCAGGCTGGGATGGACCCCACACACACACCTCGGAGGTGGTGAGAGCCTCTTTCTCGGCAGCGATAAACACCAACTGGACAAGCGACATCCTTATACTGGAGGAAGGGGGCAGATACCACTGTAACCAAGGGATCAAAGCAAAGACCACCAATCATAGGCCATGCTGATATCACACACCCACTTCGATGATGCGATAATAAGAGCATCTCACCCAGTGGTATTCTTCCCCCAAATCCATGACCCTGGTCTAATCGTGAGAAAATATTAGACCAACCCAAATTAAAGGTCAGTCTACAAAATACTTGACCAGTACAAAAGCCTCAAGGTCTTGAGAAAACAAGGAAAGCCTGAGAAGCCGACAGACTAGAGGAGACTCTGTAGACATGACGCCCCCATGCAAGAGAAATGCTGGACTGGATCCTGGAGCAAAAACGGGCCCTAGTGGGAAACCCGGGGAGATGCTATAAAGTCTTCCATTGAGCCAATGCGAATGTACCAGTGTGGTTTCTTAGTTTTGCTACATGGATCGTGGTGATGTAAGACGCTAGTATTAAGGGAAGCTAGGGGAGAGGTATACAGGAAATTTCTATACTGTCTTTGCAATTCCATGCTCATTTCAAAATAAGTTTTTTTTAATCTCCCCAGCTGATGGGAATGTGCGCCCAGGGTTGAGGCACCCCGCTCTTAATCCTTCTCCAGGAATCCTAGGGCAGATTTTACCCTCAATTGTAGCAGCATATGCTCCTGGCATATCATCTGTCACAGTGTTTCTCAAGTTTGGGGGCAAGCATCAAATTTGGGGGAATTTTTTAAATCCCAGGCCATAACAACAACAACATGAGAAGTATGTGGCAGGGGCACGTGATAAATGTCGTGATGCTCTCTCCATCCCCCTGCTGCCCTTTCTCCTTTAGGGTGGGAATCAGTGCTGCACTTGCCCTCGGAGCAAAGCATCTGTGGCAGGTAGAATAATGGCTCCTCGAAGATGTCCACATTCCTAGGCCCCAAAGCCCATGAATATGTTACCTTACATGGCAAAAGGAACTTCGCAGATATGATTATGTTAAAGATTTGGGGTTGGGAAGATTATCCTGAGCTAACCGAGTGGGTCTGATGTAATCACATGG